GGGAAAAACAGAATACGCTGCAGAATACCCCACCGACTGTCGCACGGACAAAAAACGCCGGACGCCTCGATCCCTTTTCTCGACGCGTTCGGAACACAAGTGACACTCCTCGCTTCCACACACACTTTATTCCGGGCATCCCGTGCGACACTCTGATTGGCTGGGGACTATTCTTCCGCCTTCACAAAACGCAGATTTCTACGTCTCTGACTCAGTAATCTTTCGCCTTGATTAATTTCGAACTGGAGGCAGGCAAAACCGGGTTCAGAACCAGGTGATCTAGAACCAACTTTTTGCGAGGATTCCAAAAAAATACAGAATATATATTTTTTTTCACAGAGGTGGTTGGGGCCCCGCAAATCGAGATTTCCTAGTTCCTCCGCGTTTTCGGCGAAACGGTATATAGGACATAACTCGTCACCAACATGTCTGTGAAAGCTAAAAATAGGTTCATTCGAAAGCCCTGGTCCGTAGCTTTCGAATGGTATGCATTTTGTTGGGTAAATACCCTGGCTCCACAGAGAAATTAATCAAGATGCCTGACAGCGGGTCCTTGACAAATACCACTTTACTTGAGCGTCGTTTCTAGAAGCATCAATGTCTCCTGTTGCTCGTCGGAAGCTAGCTGACGCTGGCAGGACAACATTCATTCCATGTAGATATGATACTTGGTGCCGTAGGTTACATAACATGCCACACCCTCAGGACCAATTTCAGAGCTTGATTGGAACTCCGCGGAAGCAACATCGACCGTACCAAAAATAGAGACCTTGGAACTGCCTCATCCGAGGGCTTTATTCCTAACGTGCTTCGTTTGACTGAGCAGTCAAACGGTGTGCTGTGGCATTCCCTGTGTGGCGGAGAAGTTGAGGTTTGGAAATTCGGTCCAGGAGGTGTGATATATATGTTGCAACCTACGGTGTGCATGAACGCATACCTGTTCCCTCCCTGGGACTTGGCTCTCAATTTTCCATCTGTATTTTCTGCTCTGCATGCACAACGGTGCAGCCTGGTCTTGATAGGTTGGTTGCGCACGAAGGTTATGACTTGGGGGCGACGTAAGACTCGGCATTGCACAGGGTCGAATAGGCAGAGAGGCATCCACAGAACGTGTGTTGAGAGCTGACGCTTGATGTATTGTAGATATGCTGTACCATATAACTTAACAATCGTACGGCCGTTGAGCTGTTGGAATATATATGTGTCTTGGCCGTCTTTCAGGCGTGCATCCCAGACTTTTTTCCCGGAAAAAGGAGGCACAAATGGTCCACGAGGGTTTCAAAACCCGGTTGTACGTTTGTTAAGATGTTCAGCATACCTACTATGCTACAACTCAGCGTATGGCATACGTCTTGAAACGTGCCTTGAATCCAGCGTTCATTGCCCCAAGCGCTGCACGTCGTTTAGGGATTCCAAGGGCGTCGCTTGTCCGACTGAAGTCAGCAGAACACCACCGGGTGGCAAGTAGTGAGTGGCATCGGTGTTCCACTCCTAAAGACTACACAGTGCAGTCTTCCGTTCTACGAACACTTTTTCTGTTTCATCAGGAGCGTAAACTAGTCTACTACAAACGACAGACAACACGCGAGCTAATAGGGTTCGTGGCATGCTGATTTTTCTGATTTAGGTAAATAAAAGAAAGTAGGGTCGAAAAAACAAACCGAGATGGCCGCGTGTCACAAAATCCTGTTACCTTTCTTGCAACATCAAATGGTCTGTGAAACAGAAACTTGGCAAACTTCAGCATCATCGCAATGCCCCACCCAGTGTGAGCTTGATTGGCGTATGCATTTCACTCCGAATTTCGCGTCAGAGATGATCGAGCAAGACAGAAAAAACAGCAGCGACAAAAATACCATATTCTCGAAACTTTGTTTCCAGGGCAACAAACCTCGTTCGTTGCTACTATCTATGTAGTGGTGGAAGCAATCGGCCCTCAGTCCGGTTGCCTACGCCTGGGTGTACGATAACCGTGTCGATGCACATACTGCTGTACGCCGAGAGAATTCACTATTGTGATAGCAACTCGACGAGTATCGTCGCGTTGCCTGTCTGAAGCTTTCCCTTTTTTTAGCGGTACATGAGGACGAGGGCGCACACCGCGACACGCTCGCCCACCGAGCACGGAAAAGAGTTCAGTACACAGAGTAGATGACATGAGACATCACACCCCCTAAACAGTTTTTATTTTTCAAAGCCATTACTCCACAGCAGAAAGCGTGGCCGGGCGGCGTTGGCACCGATAGCTTTCCGAAACAAACCTATCGTTTGACATCCTCGTCGTCGTGGACTAACCCTAGTAGCTGCGAATATTGATGATGCGATATATTATGTCACCTATGCCGGTACATGCCATGCATAAGAACAAGGAGCACCCTCCATTCCCCTCCAGTCAGTTATTGTAGTAGTTGAATTGAAACCTCTCATTACCGACCGCGTCGAGTGCTGGATCGATACGGACATACGAAGGTACTGGGTAGAGAGAGAGCGGAACGGTTTGAAATGTGAAGACAACAACAACAACAATTACCCATCCATACTCCATGCCCTCTCTACGATGATCTTGGACGATACCTCGAGCTCCTTGTTATTTTTTGTTTTTTCCTTTGCTGGCTGCCTGCCACCTCTGCTGCCTCTTTGGTGCGGTGCCTACCCTACACTAATGCGCTGGTGCATACTGCACTGCTGTAGTACCTGGTACTGGTGTACGTTGTCCTTCGATTTTTTATTTTTTTTGTGGGAATATATATGTGTTTGTTTTTCGCCCCCCGTCTTGCTGCACCCCCTGGGGTGTGGTGCAGGGCGGGGGATGCCTGGTCGGCGGGAACCCGGCACGGAACCCTCCGGCGTTGTAGGCGGGTGTGGGAAGCGTTCCCCGTTCTCCTTTTATTTTATTTTGATCGGTCTCCTCGACGCTCTTTCTCGTTTGGTGCGGTAGCTTGTTTTTCTTTTTATCATTTTTTTTTTATTTTACTTAATATGACACAACGAGTCCATCTCTATCATAGAAAAGAGTCAGAGACAGATTAACAATGGAATCATAGGGTCAGAGAAAACTACCTGTATGTCTACGATTTCCTAGACAGCATACAGGGACAACTCTCGGGTGACAGGCTCAAAAGATCAGTTTGGTAGCTGTCTTGTGTGTCTCATATATGTTATGTTGTGGAATTTCATGTCGTTAAATGTGAGAAGGGCACGGGAGAACATTTCTCATCATTGCCTCCTGATGACGTGGTCGCCGATAGAGGCGTGTGGTTGATGAGGTTTCATCACCGACATGTGGGTGGGTGTTAAATGCAGTGGGTGTGTTGACCTCTCTCGTCCGTGTGTAGGCAGGAGGTATGGCTACCTCTCCCATTTGTAGGCAGCGTGGACCATACTTGTAAATATAGACAGAGTTCATCATTTCATGCATGTTACATCATTTGTGTTTGACAAGGGAGGAATGAGAGGTTGTGCGTATGGGTACGGGGGTACTCCCTGTGTCCGTGTTGTTCCCAGATGTTGCCGCATCAAGTGGCAGCATGTGTCATGGACAGGTAGACGTGGAAGGACGGCGACAGGTGAACGGCAGCAGTAGTATGTTGTGCATGGTGGCATGTTGGGCTTGCTTGTGCAGAGGTGCACTCCATCTTCGACCACACACAAAAAAGTTTGCTCGTACCTGTGGGGATTTTTCGAAGTCCTGGGTCAGCCAAGAGCAGCAGCAAGGAGCAAACGCAGTGCAGTATACTCTACAGCTTTACAGTCCGTCCTCCTCAAGTCCTATCGGAGATGAATAGTATCGCACAACGGCTGGATCCGAAATGCCGGCTTCGGATTTTTGTACCCTATTTTTTTCTGTTTCTTCGTGGGGTCGTGTATGCCGGGTTTTGAGACCACGGGCTCCCAATCTTTCTTTTTTAGAGCTAATAATGTGAGAAACAACAACAACAAACAACAACAGAAGTCGTATTAACACTAATACTTCATGGGTGCTGCAAAAACTATTCATGGACGAACCCGGCAGTTCCGTTCTTGTTGTCTTCACAATTAATTACAAAATCGTTCGTTCTGTTCTCTCTATCCAGTACAGTAGAGGTCCCTGTATAGTGCCGGTTGCCGGTATAGTGCCGGTCAAATCTCGGCGCAAAGAACCCGCCCTGAATAGTGCCAGACGCGAAAGATTACTGAGTCAGAGACGTAGAAATCTGCGTTTTGTGAAGGCGGAAGAATAGTCCCCAGCCAATCAGAGTGTCGCACGGGATGCCCGGAATAAAGTGTGTGTGGAAGCGAGGAGTGTCACTTGTGTTCCGAACGCGTCGAGAAAAGGGATCGAGGCGTCCGGCGTTTTTTGTCCGTGCGACAGTCGGTGGGGTATTCTGCAGCGTATTCTGTTTTTTTGCGTCCAGGCCCTGGTTTATTCTTTCTGTTACCTGTCCGCTGGTTTCTTCGTTCTGGTACCTGGTCCGCTGGCTCTCTCTGCTGGTTAATTCACGAGAGCAAAAAAAGAAAATGTCCGACGGTCGCGGGGGTGTACCAGAGGAGAAAAATCAAGACATTGGAGATGTCGTCGGGGCGGGGGCTGGTCAGCAGCAGGAGCCCCAATCGACGTCGGAGGCGCAGCAGCTGCAGGCCGCGCAGCAATTGCTGTCGTCTCTGTCCGTCAATGAGGACGGGGAATCTGTCCTCGCTGTCGACCCGGAAGCAATGGCGCAACGTCAGGCAAATCTGGAGACTCGCCAAGATAAGCTGAGTGATCAACTCGAGCACGTGCAGCAGATCGTGACGTCCCTCGCGGCCTCCGTCTCCTCCTGGGTCAGGAGCATGTCGACTTCAAACGCCGTTGTCGCGCCTCCGTCGTCTGCCCCTGGGCCGAGCTTGCTGAGCACCGTCGCGCGCCCTCCTCCCGCATCCGATGCCGACGCCCAAAAGGCCAAAAACAAGATGTGGAGGAGCAACAAACTGCCCTGGGCGATGCGCGGCCGGCGTGGAGTGGAGCTCACGTCAGTGGCGATCTTGTCCAGCGTCCTGGGACAGTGCATTGTGGCTACGGAGAAGAACCTGGCGTCCCTTCGTTCCTTCGCCCGCTTCGATGTTCGCGAATTTTTCTCCTCGTCCGCGGCACCGTCAATGCTGATCACAGAGCACTTCGAGCTGGCTCTTTTGGCGATCTCCACTGTGTTGAAGTTCGGGCTGGTCGAAGGCCTGCCCGATGACGCACCGGTGCTGCAACGTTTGCAACCGATGCAGTCTGCGTTCAACACGGCCACGCGGGACTTCAGAAACCACATCCGTCAGCACAGCAACATCTTCGCGGATACCAGCTACAAGAAACGCGAGGTGTTCGCGGCGCTCCTCAACACCGACCTGGCGAAATGGACCAGAGACTTGGCGACGTGGCTTTTCAACTTCGAGGAGTACACCTCCCCGCCGGAGGATTTCTCGGTTTTCCCATCTCCCCCTGTTCCCGCGTTCGAAGGCATCAAAGGGTTCGTCGGTGCCGGCCAAGGTGTGTTTCAGATGCTCGCAGCCCAGGAGGACAGTCAGAAGGCGATGAAACGTAGGTCGAGGGAGCCATCGTCGTCCACCTCCTCTGGTTCAAAGCGGCGTAAAAGGTGGTCGAACAACTTTTGCAACCAGTTCAAGGAAAAAGGCTCGTGCTCCTTCGGCGAGGAGTGCATCTTCAGGCATGGCGACGACGACCCGCGTTACCGCGACGGCGGCAGCCGGTCAAGGACTTCCGGAGCGTCATCTGGCGGCGCCGACGGCGGCGGCAACCGCCGTAGCAGTGATGGCGGCTCGGACGGAGCTTCTTCTGCCCTCGTCGTCCGCGGGAGCGGCAACTGAGGGTACGGGCTCCGCTTCCATGAGGCGGGGCCAACTCCTATCTCGCGCGTAGTCAAGGAGCCGGGGAAGGGGCGAGGGTTGCATGAACTCGCAGTTCAGGCTCTTGTGGACGCTGGCGTGGGGGGCGAGAGCAAGGAAGCCTCGCCTGGAGCGGTCGCGCTGTCAAAACAAGGTACGAATGTTTGTCCGCTCATCGTGGGTACGTGGCGCGAGTCTGTTTCGGCGCTGCGCTCGTGTACGCCCGCAGCCAAACGTGCCTGTCTAAGTCAGGTAGCGAGAGCTGGGTCCTCGCTACTGAGGTCGTGCGGTGGGTCGTTTCAAACACTGATAGAAGTGGTTGGCCCCGCGTTTTTTCGCCCCTCATGTCGATGTGTCGGTGGTGCGTCATTATTTTGGCGAGGTCAAAAAGTTTCCACTCATCGACCAACTGATCAGGTCTTTAGACCCGGGCGTGCCTGTTGATGTTGCACTCGGTGGCGACTTAGACACTGAGTTGCAGTACGGCAACCACCCTAGTGTTCTTCCATACCAACAACAAATACAGGACAAAATAGTCTCCGATGTCTTGTTGGGTCGGGCAGTCGTTTTCGACGCAGAATTCATCCGCGAGATACAGGGTGTGCGCGTTTCGCCGTTAGGTGTCGTCGATGATCCCAAATTTCGGATCATACACGACTTGACTTTTGCCCCTGGTGCACGGACCAGTGTTAACGACGATACCGACTTCTCGCAAGCCCCCGAATGCCTGCTCGGTCATGTCCTTAAGGACATTTTAAAGCGCATTGTGTACTTGCGCCAGTTGCACGGGGTGGCCGCCGAGATAATGTTGTGCCGTATCGACGTCAAAGAGGCGTTCAGGCAGGTTCGAGTCGATCCTGCGGGCGCCCCAGTGTTTACTTATGTGTTTGAGGGCAATGCCGTCGTTGACACTAGGTGTCAGTTCGGGTGGAGGTCGGCTCCGGGCTTTTGGTCCCTGTATTCGTCGACACTTGAACACTCGCATACACACACATCGTTTCAGACGTCTGTCGTAACGGACGAGGGTGCAGCCGCCGTAAACCACGTGAAAGTAGTTCCGCCTTGTTCAAGTCAGGCAGCCACCCCCGTACCAGCAGAATGCCTTCCGGTTACCGACGAGGGTGGGTATGCTGGTTCACGATACTGGGTGCGATACTATGTTGACGATGGGGTGCTGGTCGAAGTACGTTTCTTCAAGGACGGCCGTAGGTGCTTGCGTGCAGTGCAGTCTCTCGCGAGCGACCACTTCCGTTTGTTGGGGAGCAGAGGGCCCGACGACCCGCCGCTGCTGTCCCCGTCGAAGATTACGAATTTCGAAACACGTCTTGAAGTCTTGGGCTGGGTACTCGATACGCAAGATCTCACGATAACCATGACTGCACACAAGCAAGACAAGTTAGCAAGGCTGCTTGAAGAATGGCCCCACTCGCGCAAGGTCGCGACGGCTAGGCAAGTGTCGCAGTTGACAGGTTTCTTGATGCACGTGTCGTTTGCCCTGCGTCCAGGCAGGTTTTTTGTTGGTCGACTGGTGGCAGCAGTAAGCTTGCCTCCATCCGCGGTGTTCACGTCTGGGGTACCCGATCCAAACAAACGTCTTGTGCTCGGCCCCATGTTTCACGATGAACTTGATTTTTGGCGGTGGTTTGCTGATCGGGGGCTCACGTCGCTCGGGGGGTCTTTGTGCTCCCCAATGTTTAACGTACTGTCTCGTCCCCCTGATTTGTGCATATTCACTGACGCATCTCCTTGTGCGGTAGGGGGCTATTGTCAACAGACAGGCCAGGTGTTTCGATACGATTTGTCCGACGCTGAGCAATCTAGGTTCATTGGCTCCAGCAAACACGTTAAGGACGTCAATGACCTCAGCATCAATGTACTCGAACTCCTTGGCATGTTTCTTGGCGCGTGGTTGCTCGCGGTCCAACAGCGAGACGTTCCCCGTGTAGAGCATGGTTGTGTGCTGTTGCGGGGAGACAATGAAGCCAGTGTGGCGTGGATCCAAAGGTGTCGTGGAGGGAAAGAACCGCGCTCAGGCGCGCTTATGCGCATGTTGGGAGCAGTCGAAGTCTCGAGCGGCTGGTGCTTCCAAGCGTTGCATGTGCCTGGTGTTCTCAACTCTACGGCCGATGGTATCTCCCGATGGGAGCCGAAGGACGTGCTTCATAATTTGCGCACTACCGCTCCTCACGTTCCCTGGCAGGTGGTGAGCTTGGGGCCCGAGGGCCGAGCGATATGCTCGTCTGTGCTGGCTACCAGCTCGTCCGTGGAGCTCTTGCGAGCTCGTCTGAGCGAACTTACTTGGGATTTTTTGGAGCCTGGGTAGAGTTTCGCCGGAACGTGGTGCGGAAACCGGTGTTTATTGTTGGGGGCCAGGACACGGAGGTGGTGGTGTCGCAATTGCTAGAGTATGTTACGTATGCAGCTCTCGTGTCCGGCCTGCACCATGCCACCGTCGCTTCCCACTTATCCGCTGTTAAGTTTTTCCACCGTGTAGCCCGCCAGGGGGAGCTGGAGACGAGGCATCCGCTCATCCTGAACGCCCTCAAAGGGGCGGCGAGGGTCATAGCGGCCGCCGGGCCGGGTGCGCGCGTTCGTCGCCCGATGTCGTGGGGGACGCTCAAGGCCGGGGCGTCTCTAGTTTATCGATGGGGCGTGGGTGGACGAGTGCTCTATTTGTCTTTGTGTACGTCGTTTTTCTTTCTAATGCGTGCGAGCGAGATGTTCGCAGTCTCACGATCCGCGATGCATGCGGAACACGGGCTGCGCCGGGGTGACGTTGCGTTTTTTCTGTCGTCGGAGCAGTTGCCACTTGAACGGTGGCATTTAGCGGATCGAATAGAAGTACGTTTTCGTTCGTCGAAGGCAGATCAGTTCAGGAAGGGGTCCGTGGTGACCAGGGTTCGTACTGGCCCGCCTCGTTCGGTCGAGAATGGGGGCGGTGCCGTTGACGCTCTCGTGGAACTCCTTTTGTCTCATCCGTTTCTGCCCTCTCATGCCCCGTTAGTCGCATTCAGTACAGGTGGTGAAACCTGGTCGATGTGGACGAAGCACCAGGCCACCGCAGCGCTCCGCCAAGTAGTGTCGTTGGCGGGCCTGCAACCCGAAGAGTACGCGTTGCATTCCCTAAGGATTGGGGGCGCCACATACTTGTCGGCGGGGGGGGCATCACCGGAAGTGTTGAGGAGAGAGGGAAGATGGGCCGGAGAACATGGATATCGGCCTTACGTCCGCAGTCACGGTAGAGACGCAGCGTGGGTGTCAGATGTATTGGCTACCGATTGCGATACGGTGAGACAACCGGGGCAGGGAACGAAATGGGGGGACGTGAGTCCAAAGAAAGATGAGAAAGGATAGAGTGTCAAGGAGACATATGTTCGGTAAAGCGGTCCTTTGTTAGTGCATTCGAGCTGTTGGAAAAAGGGAGTGTGGTGGTAAGAGTGAAGTCCCATCAGCGCCTAGCCAGCCGTCGTATGGTGTGGGGGCAGGCAATCGTGTCGAGTGCCTGGTGGTACGCCATCTGGCTAGATTCGTTGATGGTCGATTCGGGCTCGTACGTGAAGTTCGCCCGAATGAGTGTTCACTCTCTCATTCCCCCCCCCCTGATGCCAGGCGGGGGCATGTATGTACTTAATCCAACTATTCGAAAGCATCTGAACAAAGCGAAAGATTACTGAGTCAGAGACGTAGAAATCTGCGTTTTGTGAAGGCGGAAGAATAGTCCCCAGCCAATCAGAGTGTCGCACGGGATGCCCGGAATAAAGTGTGTGTGGAAGCGAGGAGTGTCACTTGTGTTCCGAACGCGTCGAGAAAAGGGATCGAGGCGTCCGGCGTTTTTTGTCCGTGCGACAGTCGGTGGGGTATTCTGCAGCGTATTCTGTTTTTTTCACCCGCCCGCCCGTGCTTTTGAGGGTGGTAGTAGGAGGGAGAGCAGATTCTTAGCGCGGGCATTCGTAAGGTAGTTGCCTGGGCTAAGTGTACCCGGTGTCCTTTTTCCGCGAAGCCCGGGTACAGGGTAGTACGAGTTGCGCCAAGTAATTTTCGAGCGTGTTCCTATGTGCGGTGGGCTGTTAGTCTCCGCAGCCCCGGTTACCGGAACGCACGTACCAGGTTTCGGGCGCGGTATAGTCCGCAGCCCTGTTAAGTGTGTTTATCGCGTATGAGCTTGGCAGAGTAAGGGCGCACCTCGGAAAGTCGTTTGGGCGTACACATTGTATGAATATTTCTTACGTGCGTTGTCGTTCGGCATCTTGTTAACAATGCCCGAACCGTATACGTTTGGTGGACCTGCAATGTGTTTACGCTAGTGTGGGGGAATCGTTCGCCTATGCTGTGGCGATCTAGAGAGAGTGTGGAATGTTAGCTGGGACTGGGGCAGGCAATCGTGTCGAGTGCCTGGTGGTACGCCATCTGGCTAGATTCGTTGATGGTCGATTCGGGCTCGTACGTGAAGTTCGCCCGAATGAGTGTTCACTCTCTCATTCCCCCCCCCCTGATGCCAGGCGGGGGCATGTATGTACTTAATCCAACTATTCGAAAGCATCTGAACAAACGGCATAATTCAGGACTGCCCACCATAGTGCCGGTTCAGGCCCCACTGAACCCCACAATAGTGCCGGTTCAGGCCCCACTGAACCTCACAATAGTGCCGGTTCAAGCACGCAAGCACTCACAACACACAAGAGACACATAACACGAGCTCCATAACACAGAAGACAGACACAGCAGGTATCGGTCTCTTGAGGGTGAGTCTAGCCCTGCTCGCTAGAAAGACCCCCCCCTTTCTATGGGTCATGCCTACGCAAAACCTTGCCGAGACTATATACTCGAGAAGACAAGGCATAAACTCTCGAGAAGACACTCACTCTCATCCCTCTGGCCCAGCGCAGGCTTGAACACATGTAACGAACGGCGACATTCGATGTGCGCTCAGCAACAACAAATACGACAAAGAGAAAAACAGTGGTCGTTTCCGAACTGCTGTGGAGATACTGTACGATGGTGGAGACTTTTTTCTTTTCTGATATGAAGTGGCCACAAAGAAGAACACGACTATCTGTGTAGTCTATAAGCACGACGGACGAACTATTCTCTCAATGCGCTTTCCGTCGCGATAGATGCGCACCGCTACCGCTATACGAACGAGCAGACTATTGTCAAACCTGACCACGATAACCGACGACCATTGCAGCACATTCCGAGCATAGCAGCAGCAACCGCAGCAGCAGCAGCCGCATGTTGTTGTTGTTGTTGTTGTTGTTGTTGTTGTTGTTGTTGTTGTTGTTGTTGTTTCTGACATCGGCTCTTAAGTCCACGAAAAATGGGGAGCCCGTGGTCTCAAAACCCGGCACATTCGACGCCGCGGGGAAACAAAACAAAATTAGACTACAAACTACTCGGAAAAAGAAAACAAGCTGATAAAAAGAAAATAACAGGTACCGCACCGACCGTTCGAGAAAAGAGCCCTCGGAAACCGATCAAAATAAAACAAAAACAGAAATAAAGGACGACGCTTCCCACACCCGCCCAAAGAAAAAATCAACGGGTAACGTACCAGCACCAGGCACTACGCACCAGGGTATGGGAGTAACGGAGAAAACAGGACAAAGAGGCGGCAGATGGGCAGACAGCCAGATGTACAGAAACAAAAGCAACAGCAAAAGCGAGATCGAGGTACCCAACACAGCAGAGTAGGCAGGGAGGACATGAAAAAATGAAACACAACACAGAGGCCGAGGGCAATACAACGGACATACATGAAGGAGTATAGCATACAGCAGGGAGGAAAACAGGGCGCAGCAACATCAGTCGGATACATAGTTCGCCACAAGTGCTGCCTCGGCCACCCTACTCGCTTCTACAGCAGTGCCCGGTCGCCGTTTCTTCCCCCCTACCGCCGCTTCCCCGACTCTCTTTCTCTTCGGTCCTGACATGGCCGTACTCTCTGCTTCTGCTTCCTTCGCGGGCTGGAGCTTCGCGGACGCTTCCGCCTCCTGCCTGTGCCATTTCCTCATGAACCATGCCNCGCGGAGATGGTACGTCCGAGGCACACAAGCCGATCGGTCTGCTTGTACGTCTGGCCGGCGGCGCTGACCGTGAACGGGCGTTCCTCGATCCCTTTTGGCAGCATGCACATGATCTCCGTCTTTGGCTCCGATACCATCAATCCGAACAGGCTGGCCACGCGCACGATGACCGACATCATCTTCTCGAGACTCTCCGGCGAGCGCGAGACGATGGCCGCGTCTTCAGCGTAGACCTTGTCCACAGGGCCTCCGCGTCCGTCACCACCGTCGTCTTCTTCCCCGCCGACCTTCCCTTCTTGCCCTTGTACTCCACTTGTGTCCCGATCTTGACCATGTCCGCCGTCTCTTGACCATGTCCGCCGTCACCTGGAGGTCCTTGTCAAACTCGGCCACGGCGACAATGAGCATCGCGGCAAAGAACAAGTTGAACAGCAGCGGGGCCAGGTTGCATCCCTGTCGGAGGCCTTGGCGCACGTCGAACCACTCCGAGTACTGCCCGTCGTCCGTTCGGACGCGCGCCCTCCTGCCTTCGTGGAAGCGGCGAATGACCGCCAGCATCTTCGGGGGCACGCCGAAGCGTCGGAGCACGTCCCACAGTAGGTCTGGGTCCACCGAATCGTATGCCTTGGTGAGGTCGACGAAGCATGCATGTGTACAATGGTCACTCAAGAACAAACGCAACAAAACAAAAGAAAAAGATGTGGCGCGCAGCACGCAGGACCCTCTTTCGCTGTTCCACCGGCCGTTTCTATGGGGAAACAGGCAGGGAACAGTCAAGGCCGACTCTTGCCGGCCACAGGAGGCGGGCGCTGCTCAAACTCGGGGAGGGGCCATGGTTTGCGATTCCCTACCGATACCCACACCAACGATACAGGGAAAAAATAACAGACGCGCATCGCCTACTGCGCGAGCAACGGCTACACGAGGAACGCATGCAGGCTAAAGCACAAAGACGATGACCTTACCCCTTTGCCGCACATTCCGAGCACAGAAGCAGAAGATGTAGCCGCATGTCACTCAGCAAGAATAACAAAAATAAATCTGGGGCGCAGCACTCAGGACCCTCTTTTGCTGTTCAACCGTTCGTTCCCATGGCGAAACAGACAAGGAACAGTCAAGGCCGAGTCGTGCCGGCCGCAGGAGGTGGAAGCTGCTCAAATTCGGGAAGGAGTCATGCGTTGCGATTCCCTACCGAACCATACTTGATGCGCTACTAGAACTGGATTGTAGCTCGAGATCAGCATTTGAGGCCGGGTCGGGCAAGGGGTGGGGGATGCGAATGAAAGTTCCACACACACACACAGTTAACCCCCGCCCTCAAAGGAGTTTACTTGTTGGAAGCAGGGAAGGCGGGAAAACCCCGTGAAGATGGAAACCCTGACGTAGAACATCAACCACCGTCTACCTTCAGCCGAAATGAATTTGGTCAACACTACCAAGTCTTTGGAGCCCAAGCTCTCCTTTCGAAACCTCTTCATGCAGCAGTGCG